CCATCATATTCCTGCTATATTCTTGAGGTTCCCTATTTGGGGTTCCCAGTAGAGTCCCTTTAAGAAATGCCGTATCCCATGCCGAGGAAGGAAGAAAAATCGTGTGCTCCATGGTTCATATAACCCCTATATAACCCCTATATAACCCCTATGTAACCCCTATATAAGACCCAAATAACTGCAGCCGTTGCACCAGTCAAGAACAGATAGACTACCAGCTGAGCAGCTATGGGGAACGCCAGTTGCTGTTCTAGCAATGATGGAAGGCCCTTCCGGCATTATAAAGGGATAACAGGGATTGTATATAAGGGTTATATAGGGATACACATATATATATATATGTATACATAGGGGTCATGTTGGGGTTATATGGGGCTATTTAGGGTTTAGGGCTCAGGGACGTCTAGCACTACCAAATCTGCACATTGTTTTCCGCTTGCGGAACTGCCTATAAACCCCACTGAACACCCTTCTCCCACGGAGCCCGAAACTCAAAGCTCAAGAGGCAGTTGCTCAAGCCATCCCGAGGGAATCACTTAGAAAGGCCCACAGACTCCCCTTACATCTGAGCATCCCATGTGAACTAGGGTGAGCCCTGAGCCTAAACCCTATACTCCCCTTTTGGCCTGGAAGGCCTGAGTTCGAGACCTTAACTGCTGCTGCCCGCGGTGTCGTGGGGCAGAAGAAAGCCTTGCTGGTGGGCCTCAACTACCGCAACACTCGGGCAGAGCTGCCTCTTAGCTGCGAAAGCTGCAGTTCCAAAATGTTGTAGGCTCTATCTATACGAACAGGATTCGGGCGGATAATTCGCTACCCCCTTGAGATCTGGAGCACGAGAAAGGCATGGCTGCATCAATGATGTGAACAACATGCAGACGGTCTTGGTGCAGCAGTACGGCTTCAAGCTGGAGGAAGCATGTTGCCTACTGGTCCTTACTTGGGGAGTCAGGGGGACCTGGTGACTAAATTGATGGCCACTATAAACCATATATAGTAACCCTAAACCCTGAACCGAAATAGATATCTTCGGTATTAACCTACTTACCACGTCTCATTGACTTTCCAAGTAGTAGGCAAGAAAAAGAAAGGATCCCCATAGCAGTCCTCATCTGCTCCCCCATAAGTCTAAACTCCTAAACTCCTTAAAGGGGGGTTATATAGGGGATTATATATTTGTGTATTATAGGGGCTATTAAGGGGGATACCAAGAATCAAGACGATAGCTCATATACCATAACTTTTCATGTTCCGGGGTTGCTGTCAAAGAAATTGAGTCAAGTTACTATAAGAAGGACAGCCTATGACTACTATATACCGGTATTATGGTATCTTAATTCAGGTTCCTTAACGGCAGCCCAATTTTTCCTCCCCATTCCTTTGCCACCTACTAATCAGAAGCAATTCTGAGGTCCCTGTAGAAAATTCACAGGAGCATGTAGTGTTACAAGAGGTCTACAGGGATTACAACAGTTCTGGGGCTACGTTCGCTCCGGATGTGTGACAGAAGTATGGCCCTTCCTTTGTGGCGAAAACTTGGGTACCGAAGAATTCCGGAAGGAATGCATTGAATCACTTTGTTGAGATAGCCAGGACATCATGATGCTTAACGAGGATCAGGACAAGAGCAAATGGCCTTACAAGAAGGACGGGGCTTCTCAAAAAATACCTCTGAAATCCTTATAGTGCAGGGGCTGGAATAGGTTTAAACAAGTTTAGGGATTTAGGGGTTAGGGTATCCAGTAGTAAAACTATGCAAGGAAACTAGGATCACACTATTGGCATTTTTTGTTTGGTACAGTAGGGGCATACATCAGTTTTTGATAACCCCCATGTTATGAGTTTATGTGTGTTTACATATTAGGTGGACCCCCACCAAGTAATAGTGACCATAAAGGATATTAAAGACTATATTAGGGTCGTCTTATATTCCTATTATACCTTACAGGGTGGGGAATATACACACGATATTCATCCCTGGGCTCCAAAGAGTATTCCGAGAAACTCCCAGGTGATCATGGAGGGTTTGCAGTGGCTTTACCAGGGCGCGAAGGATGGGGATCTGCTCTTTTTCCATTACAGTGGCTGGGTTGGCTTTTGGGATATTTTTAGCTATTGTCTCCTATTGAAATCATAAGGACCCTATAAAACCCCAATAGTACTTTCCGTGCTCTTTTTCCATTATCCCCATATAACCCCAATATATCCCCAATAAAACCCCATATAATCCCTGTAACATTTTTCGAAGAGCGCCAAAGCCCAACCAAGGCGGCCATGGCTCAACGTACTTGAGCTGAATTTGAGACAAAGACAGGAGTTTCTCAAAATAACCAAAAGATGATCCCTGATGAGGACCTCCCATAATACCCTTACAATCCCTATGTATGCCTACTTCGAGGGTCATAGGGACTTAGTCAGTGGATAGCTGGGGTTATTATATGGTTTATTAGGGTTATAAGTATACTTACCAAGTCCCCATGACCCCCTAAGTAGGGTTCCAAGCGGCTTCCCATGGCGCCAAACCTTCAGATGGTTGAGGCGTTTTTTGGAGGAGCTTGAGTCAGTTGTTGCTTTGCGATAGACATGTTGCGGCCGGAAGGAAGGCACCCCAATTGGGTTTAGGGGTTTATGCATTCCGTTTGTCAGGACGACATAACCCCTATATAATGGCAGTGTGGGAGGTACCAGCTGGACAAGAAGGCCATGGCAGCAGATGCCATTTGTCCTCTGGATTGCCTTGACAAGCAGTGGCCAGAGGCAGTCACTTGTCGAGTCATGGAGAACTTGCTGCTTAGGTAAACACCCCTTATATTAATAGCCCCTGAATATGGAGTTAATGCGCCTTAATATCCTTACAACAGTCCTTCATGGTACCCATTACTGGGTGGGAGATAGACCCAACTTGCTACAAATAAATTTGCACGGAATGAAGGAGCGCAACAGAAAATCTAAACCAGTAGCATTATTTAGATCTGGAATTCAGATTGGTTAGCAGGGAATGAAGGAAGCGGAAGAAGACTACAGATTACCGTCAGGACACATTCCCCGATACTGACCACTGCCACGGTAACGATATGCTGCCACAGTATGTGCGGTAGCAGCAGGAGGGAGGAGCAGAAGGAGTATCACAACACGAAACTGTTGTAATCTTTGTCCCATCATATGATCTGGATTCACCCTAAGCCCTAAACCCTAAGTCTCTAGGCGCAGAAAGCTAGCACCGAACCCCCGATGAAGTTGCCTGGCCCAGAGACGCGCATCAGTGAGGTCATCCTGGACACCGAGATCCACGAGAAGCTTTATGATCCGTTGCCGAAGCTAGGATCGTTTGGGAACATCTTGAGGTGTAGATTTTATGGGGTTTTAGGGGCTTCGCGTAGTGTTTAGGGGTTTAGGGGTGTAGGTTTAAGGATTTCAGTATTTCAAAAAGAACAAATTTTGGGGCCTATAGAATTCTACAAATGTTAGTTACTTTTGGCTACTCGGAGCCCTAAGCCTCCCAAGACGTGCCCCCGCAAAGCAACAAGGCCTGATAAGCTTTAATAGGCCCTAATACTCCACAAAAATGCTTAATAAGGCCCTTCATGTGTGGGTGCTCATACACTGGGGAGGCCATACTAACCTCATGAAAATAATTCCAATAGCAGTAATATAGCAACAACAATAATAACAATAAGAATGATACCCTAAACCCTAAACCCTATGCTTGTACTTCGGGAGCTTTTAACCAACAAAGGAAAGGCTGCAAAGCCGTTTGCATCTTCGACTGCTGCCATTCTGCAACAGTCGCCAACCTTTGTAACTTGGAAGCTCAATATGTGGATTATGTAGGGATATGTGGGGGGTTATATAGGGTCAGATGGGGGTTATATAGAGATATATGTAAACGACCACTGAACCTACTATTTAGGGACTGGGGTTTAGGGCTTAGAGTATGCTTCCAACTAAGCCGTCAGCTTAGACTTGCTTGCCCAAAGGGAACTTGGCACAACAATTGTATTCCAAGACAAGTCCTCTTATTGCCAACCCAAAACCCAAAACCCCGAAACCCTAAACGCTCTAAACCCTAATTCCCTAAATCCCTAAGCCCTGAGCCCTAAGCGCCCTGAACCCTTAACGCTAAACGCCTTAAATCCCAAAGCGCCTTAAACTCTGCCGTAAACCCCTAGGTGAGACCATGGTTGTGAAGGAGGGCCCTATGACTGCGGCCAGGAGGGGGGCTGGGGTTCAGGGGTTTAAGGTTCAGGATTTAGGGATTTGGGGGTTAGGCTTTAGGGGTTCAGGGTTTAGGGATGTTTAGGGTTTAGGGATCAGGGATTTAGAGATCTAGGGCTGAGGGATTAGGGTTTAGGGATCTAGGGTTTCAAGCTATAGGGTGGCTAAGGGAAGCCCCAAAATCTCCTTACCGGTATTACATATCCCGTCGGTCCCTAAGGGCCTCCCCACTTTGAAAAACCACCTAAACCCTAAACCCTATGTAATCCCCTATTTTCCTCCATAAACCCTAAACCCTCAACCCTAAACAATTCCTATATATACCCCCTGCCCCCAAACCCTAAACCGTAAATCCTATACCACCAGGAAGGCGGAGTTAGTCAAGGAACTCACGGACCAGAAGAACAAAGCGGCAGCCAAGGCCACCGGGCAAAGGAGAGTTTAGGTGCGAGCTTAGGGTTTAGGGCCAATTTGAATGCGGCCCTTTCAAAGGGATTATAGGAATGTGCATACATGTATAATCATATATATATATATACACGGATTTTAGGGTAAAATTGCTTTCAAGAATGAGGACGAACATGGGCGAGACATGAAAGATAAATGCAAACAGGGTTCGTAAAGAGGCTGATGAGAATGCTAATGTAGGGGTTGAATGATTCATTAGAGTTGAATTATAAGGAATACTTGTGTAATTGAGTTTCGGACAGATCGGACTCATTAACGGCAAACCAGGGTACAGTGCTATGCTGGGGCTTAGTGTTATTGCCCCAAGAAAAGGAGAAGCATGTGGAAAAGCAAATGGAACATGAACCGGGCAATGAGGTTTATTGAGGCTTTTCGGTTTGGGGTTTAGGAAGATTACAGTGCCCTAACGATTGAGAGTCAAGTGAAAATGAAATGAGAGCTGGTGTTATACAGCGTACACAGGCCCCAAACAGTTTGCAAGCGCTGTGTTGTGGCACGATCAAGCTGATTCCTTCCGGGAAGCTTACGGAGACTCTATGAATTTCGACCACTGCGCATTTCAACCTGGCTGGTTCAAGTAGAGTCTTAGGTCATGGCAGAAGAGGCAACCTTAAACCAGGGACCCATGGTTCAGAGGCTTTTAAATGGGTACGTGGCCCTTTTGGCCATACGTCTGAACCCTAAGCCGTGAACCGTAAACCCTAACCCTACATACGATGGTGGGCGGTGATGGCGACCTGGCCTGGCCGGGGACGGCAGCCGGGTGGGGCTGGCTGGTTTTTCCAGTGCCCTTTTAGGGGTTGAATTTTGGGAAGCCGGGCCAAAGGGGCCCCAGGGCCTTGCAGGGGCCAACCACGATGGACCCTAAACCCAAACTCTGGTGGTAAGAACCAGTGCCTTCGTGCAGGCGTAAAAGTCCTGAGGCTTATATAAACTCAAACCCTGCATGGCCAGGGTAGGCCGGCTGCGCAACATAGGCTTTTGTCTTTTAGGGTGCGATTTTGGGCCTCTGTTTGTTGGGAACCAGCGGAAGCACTTGTAGAAAGCTCTGGGTTTAGGTTTTAGGCTTCAGGTCTCCATAGCCCAACATCCCCTGAAACGCCAAACCCCTGAAACCCCCCAAACCCTGAAAGACTCAAAGGTTCGCTTCTACAACGAGATCAACTCCGGCAAGCTGGACATCAAGAAAAAGACCCGCGAGGAAATGATCAAACTGATGGAAGCGCACCAGCTCCTAGGGAGATCTAATGTTGATCTATGTTGGTTATATGGTAGTTTCCCAAAATAAGGGGACCCCAATATCGACCCCAAAATACTATGGTCCTTATTATTGGGACCCCTAAAAAAGGTACCCCTAATTTTGGGAAAGCCCCATTTAAGGTTGCATAATTCCTATGGGGCTTTATGGGGGAAAGAAGATCGGATGGAACTTACCTTTGTATTTCGGGTTTAGGGTTAGGGGTCTAGCCTTTAAGATATTCATGTCACGGGTCAACACCGCGATATATGGGGATTAGGGTTGAGGGTCAAAAATATTTCCTTCAAGTGGAACATGGATTATGTACCGGCTCCTTTGAGGGTTAGGAAAACGTTGAAGGGCTTGTAGGAGGTATGCAGTAAGGTATATTATCCAAAAACAACGGAGAATCAATTGGAAAATAGTGGAAAGTAAAATGAAAAATGGACGGAATGATTTATAGGGTCTGGGGGAGTGAACATAGGGTTACTTATAGGGGTGGCTGATTTCAGCAAACCACTCCTCCGTCACAGTTTGGGGATGGGGTTTGGGGTTCAGCGTTTTCTCGGTTTATAAGGGGTTTGGGGCAGTCTTACACAGTCTGACACCAATGGATGTAGATTCTTTCTTGCGGACGATGAAGGTGATCTTATTTCTGATGCTACGTATTTCTGCTATCATTGACAACATTCTAGTGGGCATATTCAATGCTTCACAGTAGAGGAGGCAACGCCAGCAGTTTCTTTCACGTGGGCCTATGTCCGTTCTATTTCGTACTTTTCCTTTAAACCCTCAGCCCCCTTTAATCTGGTCCCTAAACTTCCAAATAATGCCTCAATTCAGGTTCCCCAAGCGAGGGCCGTACTATGACGACGACGAAGCCAACTACAACTACCTCATCGGCCTTTCCATCTCACACTTGTTCAAGTCTCTGGGACCCAGCTTGTACAAATTCTAGGAGGTTATTGTGGATTTCAGGTTACTTGGAGGTTCATGGGGACTAATGAGTGGGTTAATAATGGGGATAACTGGGGTTGTTATATGGCTTTTTAGGGTTGCAGGTATACTTACTAAGTCCCCTAAACCCTCAACCCCAATCCCTGAATGAAATGGTGGTTTCCATTCTGTTTTCCATCATCCCTATATAACCCCTATATAACCCCAAATCCCTATATCCCCAAGTAGAAAGAGTTGCTGAGTCCTTTGTTGCAGCTTTTTCTGGCAGCATGGTATAGCTTGGGCGATTTGGCCCACCCTGGAACGGTCAACAGAAACTGTCGTGGACACTCGTGTAAGGCTTTCACAGCGGTGGGTGATATTCAAGGGCCTCATATGTTGGGGGTATGGGGTGGCAGGCTCTGAAATGTACATAATGAGGAAGGGCAGATATGGCAACAGTTACCCTGTACCGTAAACCCCAAACCCTATGTCCAGAACTTGACGCGCCCAACCAAGTTGTAGCTCCCCCTTGGGTTTTCTCTACCTTGGGAAGGGTTTCATAACTTGGAGAAATCTTAACAGTTAACAGCCCTGCAACATTAAAGGGGATCTTCCAAAAGTCCTTGGGCTGATATTTAAACACAACCCCCTAAACCCGCGCTCTTGAACCCTTAACCAAACACTCTCATGGGGCAACTTTCACATTTTCTTGTCTTGGGGCCTCTTACTACCTACTCCCAAATACATTCAAATCTCATTGTAGCAGATCTCCTTTGATGCTCCTCTGTAACTATGTTACATTTCTATGTGACCCTATATATCCACTATATACACCTCATGTGAAAGACCCGCCCAAAATTGATGTCTGAACCCAAGCCCTAAACCCTCAACCCCTACAAAATGATGTACACTTTAAACCCCAGACCGTCTCCGAGGTCCTCCGTTGAGAAGGACGAGGCAATCCTGGAGCGGAAGACCAAGGCGTTGGCACATGTGGAGAGCCTCGTACCATTTAGGGGTTTAGGGTCTAGGGGTTATACAGGGCTTATACAGTGATTATTTAGGGTTTGGGGATTTGTCTTTGGGGGTATTGGGTTTAGGGATCACGGTTTAATGGTTAGGGTTGGGGGTAATTATTGGTTTCCTGTTTGGTGTATTGGGTTCGGGGTTTGTATTGGGTTCAGGGTGCAGGGTTTGGGGTACTGAGTTGGGTAACATTGTTACCCAAGACATGGCAAAGAACATGGAACATGAAATGGTCAATGGGGTTTATAGCAGTTCAGATGAGGCGACTCTAGCCCATCAAGAGTCGTATGATCGTCATTATTATGCTCCTTGTTTCGGGGGCGGGGGTTACCCAACTCCTTTGCTAATTGGCGGATTGGGCCATTCTGTTCCTCTCTAAACCCTAAACCTTAATCCCAAAACCCTGATCCTCAAACGCTAATCCCTAAACCCTTGTGTAGGGATTATGTATGGAGTTTGGGGCCATGGGTCCCGTATCGTTCGCGGCTGTTTGTTACATACCCTGCGATTCGCCAACATCCTCGACCAAAAGCCAATCATAATCACCTCCCCTTAATACAAACCGTCCACCCCTCTAAGAAATCCTCCCACTACATTTGTTCGAGGTGAGCCTTTACGGGAGGTGGTTCTTAAGGGGGAAATAGACGTTCTAGCAATCTTCCCTTCTTACCCAAAACTCTAAATCACAAACCCTAAACCCCAAACCCTGGAAACCCTTTAAGCCCCTTAGTAGGCCAAACCCACCCTTGAAACCCCAAAGCCTTAGCAAAAGGAGCCTGAAGCCGGGTGAGGGTGCCCAGATCTATGTTGGAAACCTGGAGGAGGAACAGCAGACAGCAGCTGGGAGTTAGGATTAGAGGGTTTAGGGTTAGCAGGGTACTTTGAACAGAATTCTTACATTACCCTATATAATCCCTACACAGCCATAAAAAGATGTCAGGGTTCAGAGTCGAGAGCTCAGGGCTTAGGGTTCAGGATTCAAGGTTTTGGGTTGAGGGCAGGGATGAAGGAATGGATCTACAGAGTAACCCATTCATAATCTAGAATGTGGTACCAGGTTTAGGGTTTAGGGTTCATGGTTTAGGGTTTAGGAGTGGTACCTTCCACATGCTTTTCCCTTCTAGCAAGCAGTCAGCTAAACGGATTTCGGGTTGCGGGGTTCAGCACTAAGGACAGACAACAAGTGTGGGACTTCAGAATTTTGTGGAGGTGGGGCTTGTGGAGTTTGGGATCTCAGGTGGTAGGGCCTACGGGGCAATCAAGGAGCTTCAGGCGTTTGGAGTTTTGTTGGGTTCAGGGGGCAGAGATACTGTCAGGCATGCCTATGCCTCAAGTTATGCATCTTTTCCAAGCTCGCAAAGAGATCCCCATAGATCTTTTTTACATTATGTTGAGGCAGCTTTAGGGATGGACTTTGTGGAAGTTTAGAGGTTCACTCCTTTCTGCCATCGAATAGTGCTTTCATGGAACCATGACCATCACCCATTCAACAGTCCCTATACAACCCTAGCACAGCCTGCATATACAACCCTCACAAGTGAGCCTGGACCCTAAACCTAAACTGAGGTGTACACCTCCCACTGAGTAGTCGTAGTCCCTATATAAGCATGGCATACCCTTACGACCCAAACAAGTTGCATATAACCTAAACTCTATATGACCCATAGCAGTTTCCATTATCCTTTCCATTATCCTTATAAAGTTCCTTTATAGTGAACCCTAAACCCCAAACCCTGAGTGAGCCTGAGGCATACACCAAGAGCCACTCCAGCACCAACAGGGAGATCCGCCTCCGTTACTCGGGCCTTTGCTCTTCCCAGGATTAGGGTTTTGGGTTGAGGGTTTAGGGTTTGGGGTTGTCGGTTTAGGGCTTGAGGTTGAGGGTTTAGGGTTTGGGATTTCGTTTAGGGTTCCAGGGACCCGCGCGGATGTCATGTGAGGTTTCCATAAATGAGGTGCCCACATAAACCCATTGGATTAGAAACCTAGTGGATGCCAGAAGAAGCGGTCCTCTGATTTTTTGAAACGTCCATGCAGCATTAGCAGGGGTTTGTATGGTGGGTTCCGCAGATTGGGAGTCCCTGGGAAGGTACCTAGGACTCGTAAAACTGCCGCAGGGGCAATGGGCCCTAGACTCCCAAAGTGGGCTTATAGTGGGTCTGGCGAGGCTCCACCGAACTTAGCTATGCATAAGTACCCCGCCACCCATGGCCACGTAAAACGGTCCTCCGGCCGTCCGCGCGTCTTTGCTGTATATGTACGCCAGGAAAATCATCCCAGGCATGTCGAATCTTTCGTCCCGGAGATGTAGATTGGGAAATATGAGGAACCTACCTAGTTCTGAAAACATCCGTATAGACTGTAGGCAATCGTTTTGAAAGTAGTGTACTGCTTCGGGAAGGTTCCGCAGTTTCCGTGTCGTGTTTTTGCCCACGAATGAACTAATTAGTCATTTCATGCTATATCTGCGTTGTTCGGAGCCAAGTGCTGCAGACGCCATAGACTTTGTCAAGTCATGATAGAGAAGCTGTGGTGGTACTTCTCTTTATTCAGCGGCCGTGGACATGCCTGGACAGTCATCTGTTACTTGGGAATGCATCTCCCAGAATTGAGACGGACATTGACGACAGATGCTGCTTAGCTTTGAAACCCCCGCGCGCCCTACACCTCGGAACCACTCATATCCCTACTTGCCCAGAGAACACTTTGACTAAAGCTCGTCAGAACACTCTCATGACCTAAGCTTGTCAGACAGCAAGGTGGTTTAGGTTGCCCCAACCCCTTAGGTTGGGACCCCATATGGTCATAGCATAGTTGTAGGGTCCTTATTACAAGTATTACAAGGGTTGCATTACCTGAAATTATCGGAGGCTATCTACCGCAGCCGAAGATGGACCAGGACGAGGATGCGGGAACGAGGCTTATAGGCATCCAGTGGATTACGCTGTTTATGGTTCAAGGTTGTTAAATGGGAGTTTCCCAAAATTACAGGTACCTTTCTGAGTGTCCCAATAAGAAGGACTATAGTTTTGGGGTCTATATTGGGGTCTCCTTATTTGGGGAAACTACCAAATACCCCTGAAAGCCCTATGCTTTGTAACCACCTATGCCCCTCAAGCCCTACACTCTTCAATCCCCATAGCCTCTAAACCCTAAACGCCTTGTAAGCTCAAGACCCTTTTTCAATTTGCCATAGAGGGGTAGGTGGCCTGCCTGGAGTAGCTGCCTTCAACCTACTGGGCTTTGGGATATGGAGGGGATGGGGTTTAGGGTTTAGGGATCCTGGCTTTAGGGTTTAGGAATCCTGGGTTTAGGGTTTAGGGTTTAGGGATCCTGGGTTTAGGGTTTAGGGTTTAGGGATCCTGGCTTTAGGGTTTAGGGGATACAGGGTTTAGGGCGTAGGGTTGAGGGTTTGAAAGGAGAATCACATGAGCTATAGTTTAAATTCCCTGAAGGGGGTTACATGAGGGGGTAGGATGGGGTTACAAAGAGGATACTGCGCAAAAAGGACCCCCCGGAACAAAAACCTACCATACCATCATTGGTCACACCCGCAGGCTAAAACCGTGAAACCAGCTTTCAAGATTAACAGCCCCCGGGACCCAGACAATGCACGAATCCCTGCACCCAAAAGAGTTTTTTCATTTTTGTTACATTCTTTCATTCCGTACTAAAAGCAAGATTTTGGGCAGATGAAACCGCAAGTAAGGACCAAGCCCCTGGGCACCGGCCTGCGAGATGTGCTGCGGAAGGCAATCACGAAGATCAGCGGTTTAGGAATTAGGGTTTAGTTTTTTTTGCTTCGCAGGCTTAAGCGTCTATTACTATCGGTACCTTCGAGGGTCATAGAGATTTGTGGGAGTTGGGGGGGTAAGGGTAGCGTTGTTTTTGTGTGTGTCAGATATAGAGTTTTGAATTTAAAAGGCTTGGGGTGCATAAGGTTTGGAGCTTATGATTTTGGTCGCATGTTTTTAGGGTTGGGAGGCCCAGGTATAGGTTTGCGCAGCGTCCTTGTTTGCATTGTTTTCAGTCCATTTTGATGAAATACAAACCAAACAGTCAGACCATGTTGTCGCAGGCCCTTTGATGTTGAAAGGTAG